AAGTACTTTAAAGTGTATAAATAAGTTACCCGGGCAATTGATTTACATCAGCCAATCATACGAATGTCCGCCTATGAAGACGAGTCCTCTGCAATTCTTCCCCCTTATTTCTTGAAAAGGAAATATCATGTGAGATTATTATATTTACATGTCGCGTCTTTCAAGGATATAAAATTCGGTTTTTTCATGATATCCTATTTGTTATTGACTCAAATATCAAATGAGCAAAAGATTTGTATTAGCTGAGATTCAAAACAAAACATATTCCTATTCTCAAAAAAATGGAAACCCGTTAACAAGATTAGAGAAAGCTTACTATCGAAAAGCGCATACTTATTTTAGTAGGAATGTAGCTAAATGGAAATTAGTAACCTTTTGCTATTTCATGAATAATCGGTGTGGAAAGGTTGGACGTGTTAATAATTTTGTAAGATTTGTATATGAAAGTTGGCTACAACAAAAACTAAGCGATAAGTCACTTAATACGGATACTTATTTGCAAAAGCTATGTGAGTCTCAGGTAGGATTTTATATTTTTTAATTATTTTTATTTATGATGATAATGATGAAATGCGATTCAAACATAAAGCTATAATAGTATAAATGTCCTTTTACAACTCTCCTATTATAGTAATAACCCTTCTATTGTAGTGGTGCATCGTAATAACCCTTTTATTGTAGAGGTGCATCGCAATAACTTTTCTATTGCAGAGACACATTTTATGAAATGTTTGGCCACAAAGATGTGTTCTCCTGTTTGGCGATAGAAAATTTAGTTGTTGGCATGCATTGTAATAACTTTTCTATGGCAGAGGCACGTTCTGTGAAGCGTTTGGCCACAAGGATGTGTTCTCCTGTTTGGCGATAGAAAATTTAGTTGTTAGAGATGCATTGTAATAACTTTTCTATTGCAGAGACATGTTTTGTGAAATGTTTGGCCACAAGGATGTGTTCTCCTGTTTGGCGATAAAAAATTTAGTTGTTAGAGATGTATTTTCCTGTTTGACAATAGAAGATTTAGTTGTAAAGGTGCATCCTCCTGTTTGACGATAGAAGAGCATTTTTGTAAATCATTAAACGTGCTTTTTGAAGAAATCTGAATCATCAGTATATAAGGAATATAAAATCTTCAAATAGAAATAATGCAAATATTAATCATATACGTATACTTTTTTTCAAAAAAAATTTACTATATTAGGAAACAAAACTTCCTACACGAAGTAATGAACCAGTGCCTCCTACACAAAGTAATGAACCAGTGCCTCCTACACGAAGTAATGAACCAGTGCCTGCTAAACGAAGTAATGAACCAGTGCCTTTTACAAAAAATAAGATTACCCTTTTCAAAAGTGAATACGAGCATTTTCGAAAATGGCCATGGGTCGTCAAAACACCAGAATCGTCCTTTATTGTACAAGCCAAACTTAAAGAAATTATAAATGATTATAATGTTGAGTACACAAGAAAAGACAATCCTATTCTTTTATCAATTGTGGATACGGCTTATCCGGAAGATTGGATTAGAATAAAATTTGCCCAAAACGAATGGGATCAGATGAGCGATACATCAGAATGTTTTATTAATAAAGCAGTAAAAGAAACAATAAATGCTGATAGTTTGAATGAAATCAAGAATTACTTGTATTTATTTTATTTATTAATTTATGCGATTCTATAGCTACTGTATTATCTAATCATTAAAATTTTTTGATCTTGATTTATTTTGTATTGTAGTCAACAACTAAGTAGCAGTGAAGAAACTTGGCAAGCGAATGTAATTACATTTACTTTAGAACGAAGAAGAATTTTGATTTCATCAGACGAAGAACCTACAGAGGGAACAGTACATGGATATCAAAGTACAGAAAAATTTCTTGTATATGAAATTTCAAAAAGCCCTTCCAACCAATCTGGAGAAAAAAGCATCTCGGATAGATATAAATTGTATAAAACGATGAAAGACAACTATGATACGATTGTGTCATATTTTTACAATCAATTTGGTGAATACATGTATCAGAATCACAGTTTGAGAAATTTGGAAATTTATGGAATTCTAGTATCCGGATTTGAATTAGAGATTTTCGTGCTTGATCAGCCAGGAGCTGTCGTCAGTCGGGTTCGCCGTATAACCAGAATTGAAATTCCGGTTAATATAAAAAATAATGATTATTATTTGTGGATAGATCGTTTAGTATATGCATTAAATACTCAACATTCCTTGCTAAATAAATTAATTAGTAAGTTGAAAAGGGAAAAGTTACGAGATGAAGAATATAAAGGGTTCCTATTTTCTACTATTCCAAAATCAATAGGTTCACCATAGGTAGCAGTAGAGAATGTGATTACGTAAAATAAAACGAATTAATATCGATATCAATTTTTTTCTTGATGTTTTTAATTACATTATAGATCAAATCATTTTAACATTGCTGATATTATAATAAAATTTAACTTTGCCTTCTAAGTTTTAACAAATGCAGTGTGGATGTGGTGGATGTGCATATTATTATGTTAAGAGTCAGAAAATTATTAAATGTAGTTTACTGCTATTCCTGAAACGCCTGATGAAAATTGACTGAAAGGTGCTCCAACCGATTCGATTAAGTTTGTTATTTCGGTACAATAGATACAATAAAATTACAAGATTGTACGTATGCATGTACGTACAGTACGTACGTTTCTTTTAACTGATATGTGTATACGTGAACCAAATCGTATCGACTACGTATTAATCGTACCTGATTTACTGTACTCGTGTTCATTTGGTTCTGACAAGTAACCATAGGTATGTAATGCTTTTAATTTAATTAATTGGTGATGCTCTGCGTTACAAATAAAATTTATCTTTAAGTGTCTTAAATTCCAGAAAGATAAAAGTTAAATTGAACTCTTTAACAATTCGAATACGATTTAGATTTCTATTATAACTTATGTTTATTCGAAATCAACCTAATTCCATTCCGACGTACGTACAACATTTGTATTTGTAAGGGGTTGCAAAACAGTTTTATGATTAGTCGCCTACTTTATAATAGCATTTCCGAAAATGAGAGTGTCCCAACTTTTCGCAAAAAAAAAAATAAGAGAGCAACATGTAAAACATGGATTACTTATCTTTATCCACCACTCAAAACGACCAAAGGTTAAAAAGGTCAAGAAAGAACAACCATGGATGGTTCATGCTGGCAAATACATTCAATATGGTGATCAAATCTCTGACTTTGGCAACAAACCACGACGTACTTGGAACCGAACGTTCAGAAGTTAAATTATATTCGGAGGCGCTTAATGAAAGAATTCTGATCAAGGTTACGCCTCTTGTACATCAAAATGATGGACAGAAAAGGTGGATTGGATAAATATTTGCTTTTTATAATGGATAAAGACAGGTGAACCAATGTACAGGTTGAAACATAAGATTACTAGAATTTAAAGGGGAGCCTAATATAGAACCGAGCAAAGAGCAAAAGAAAAAAGAGAGAAGAAAATATGCGTTGTTACAGCCTGGAGGTGTGAAAAATGTAGGATTTGAAATTTTATTGTTGCAAGTACGCGATAAAAAAAAAAAAATCAGGACTTTTTATGCAATGAGACACTCGGCCATTTCACTTTTCATTATATAACTATGCAATGACTAATTATTTATATATGTCCAAAAAATTGTAGTTACACTTGTCCTATGACTATTTCAATTATGTGAAAAGTAGATGTCGTTACTTGGGAAAGGGAATAGGTTTACGAGACGAAGTTTCAATCTTTTTTAACCATTGTCTTTGTTGATACTGACCCTAAAATTATGCAATGGATGATTGAAAGATTACCCCATAGCTGCCCCGAAGTTCGGATGTCCACTCCGTAGAATTTTGGATTTGGGATCTTGGCTGATAAAATGACTCTCAATGCTATATAAGTTATATTCCTGAAGAATCATTTCGCAAGCAAAGACCCAATTTATCACGTCCAAAAATTCACTTAAATTCAAAGTAAAAGTTTCAGGCAACTAGATGCTGCGGCAGTGAACACCAGAACTTCGGGGCGCCACCCTGGATTCAGAACTAAGCTTATGTGATATATACTGTACAGAAAATCAAGGTACGTGCAATTTTTAGTGTAATTTTGTTGGAACTAAAGATTATACCTGAGCCAGAAATTATCCGGATTGCCCGTGGGTAACCTGATAACCAAGTTATGATCAGTGTTTAAGATTCAAATTTAAATTTATGTTCTCAAAAGAGCTTAATTTAAATTATTAATGTTCTCAACCAATTTTTAATGTTCTCAACCAATTTTTAATGTTCTCCTAAAGAGTTAATTCTGGCAACCCAGATTAAAAACTCAACCTTAAGATCCTTTACGCCAACTCGAGTCAAATTATAATTATTGTTGCATTACTTAATTTTATAAAATATTTTATAAAATATTTTTATAATAGAATTATACAGTACATAATACAAATCTATAGATATTAAAATACATCCAATTTTTACTTGGGTTCAGGTCGACCATAAACTCAATCCGAATAACCCTTTCAGAGCAAATAGTTCATGATGTTGAATATCTTTTTGAGAACATTTTGAAAGATAAAATGTTCTCAAATAGGAGAATCTTGTTTTAAATGTAAATGTTTTTTAAAAAAATTGAATGTTTCTTGAGAACCATGAGAACACTGAATTTTAAACACCGGTTATGATTAGAGTTACATCCAGATAATACCCGGGTAATTAGATATCCAAGTGATTAATTGCAACTAATATGCAGGCACTACCAAGAGAAAGTCAGGCTTCAGGCTTTTTATATACCGTAACTTAAATTATTATATGTCGCTTAACGGATTTTTCAAGTGCCGTCTTCACAAGTTATAAAGTTCTCTTGGAAGTGCTATGTATATTATTAATTAATTAACTAGCCAGTGTTTTTTTTAGTACCCACGCGTATATTAGGTTCGTGTAACATTAGATATACTTAGGTTGGTTGACGTAAAGCAAATGCCGGGTAATTTTTTAAAGTATTTTTTGGAAACTTGACGTCTCACTAACAGAAAGTTAATGTATTAATGTTCACTATACAAAGGAATTTAAAAGATTACAAAATATACATTTTGCTTTGAAGACTAAATATATGATTGATTATTGGATTATGTAAAACTCTATTATATTGTAAAATACTGGAAATGTTTTTATTAGATTGTTGCTTTACGACGTTAGATCTAAGTAGACTTTTATTGATTGTTTAATTTGAATAGATATAGATTCGTTAATAGTAAATGAATCGGGTTTAGTAATTGAATTTGTTGTATGTAGGGATGGATCGGTCCGGTCCGGTCGGTCCCGGTCCTAGTGAGACCAGCATAGCGGGCTTTCATTCTGATTGGCTAATTTTTGCAGATCATTTCATGACATTTCAAAATTTGATTGGCTAATAAAAAAGAGTTCGAAGTAAAAAAAATTTTAAATTATTAAACAAAAAGACACATCTAATTATAATTTCAATTTATATTGATAATGTTTAATATCTGAACCCCAACAGTCATTGTCAAATGATATCTAATTAAACTTATACCACAAAAAACAGTGTTTTTAAGCTTAACAATTTAATAAATTATACGTAGATAATCTTTATTAACCAAATCGCCTGCTAACTAGTACAAGATAAATAATCAGTAATATAAATGAATTAAAAAGAACTGCCAACTATCAATAAGTATAATATATGCTTATGGAGAGTACAAGCAGTATAGAAAACCAAACACTAATTACAAAATATAACATGTAATCATATATGTTCTCATATATTCTATATTAACATATTGTAGTTTTTAAAAAACTTGGTTGAATAATCTATATTCAGAAAAGAATAGTAAAAAAAAACTAACTGTAAGCATTATTGTTTGAAGCACTATTTTTAGATTAACAAGTTTGAAAAACACACTGACACTTAGTAGCAAAGGTACAATTTATCTTGCTCATTACTAAATTACTCTTACCTATAAGTCAGAAAATGCATCTCTTTGCTAACTTCTAAATTAATTATTTGTTCTCTGAATTAATTTTACTGTATATAAAGTGAAAAGTGTAGTTTTAGAATATATGTATCACATCCTTTAACAATTCGTTTTTATAATAAACAATTTGTTTAAAGTTAGCTGTTATATGTAGTGATATATAACTCTATATTGTAATGATTGACCAATCAGATTTAAAGCCTGCTATGCTAGTAAAACTATTATTATAGTATTTTTGGTTCGGTCTGGTTTGTCTTCATGGTTCCAAAACAGTTCTTTAATGATTTCATCATATCTTAATGCATAACAATGATCGAAATCAAAAATAACTTCCTTATATCTTCAAATAATCAGCTTAGATGATAGCAGGCTGATAGGATGATGGCTTATAACAGATTTGATAGTAAAAAAAACAAGCCGATTTCTGAAGATTTTAGGAAAATATGTTGTATATTAGTTAAATTTATTAATAAATTATTTAAAGTATTTTAATAACTATAACCGGCGGTGATCATCACCGGTGTATAATTAGCTAATAGATTTGCAGGATCAGGTGTAATGTGCAAATCAATTTGTGTTACAACAATAAAGATTTTTTTTTAAAAAATGCTGATATCTCAAGAATTTGTCTATGAAACTACCTTCAACGTTCTAACAAAAAAAATTTCTTGCTAAATTTTGCAAATATTTAACACCTTGCTAAAATCTCAGGCCTCACCCTAACCCTAAAGTAAATGAAATAAA